TGTCTTGTCTTGTATTCCCCTCCCCACAAATTGTAAGCCGCCCTGAGTCCCCTCAGGGAAAAGGGCGGCCTATAAATAATAAACAAATAAAATAATAATAATAAAGTAAATTCTACATAGGGAATATTGCTAGTGGAAATTCTGCTTTTTCTTGCACTTTTCATGTTTATCTTTATGTTTCTGCTCTGATGTTTAGTGCAAAACTCAATATATGAAAACTTTAAAGAGTGCAGATTTATTCTACATTCTTATTATTCTTTTAATTTAGAAGAACCATCACTTCCTAAACCAGCTTTATCTTCTAGTGACATCTTTCCCTCTTTCAGTGATCAGTTTTCTGGCTTCAGTAGGAAAGAAAATAATTGCTAGCTTTGGAGATATTTTAAATCCCTCTCCCCTGTTGTAGGATCATTTCTTGAAAAGAAAAGGAGGATTTAGACCCATCAGGCCCAAGCCAAATTGAATCCATTTCTAGAATGTATTCCTTTGTCCATTGAAGAAACACCTTTAAAAAACCATCCTTTGTTTCCATGGGGAATATCCCATAAAGATTTAGATTTTATATAAATGCACAATGTTATAGTAAAATTAAAGCCTTTCTGTCCTTATGTCTCCAAGTTGCAAAGCTCAGTCTTCCCCTTCTCTTATCTAGACCCCTTAACTCTTCCTCTATATAGTTCTTTGCAATTCAGTTTTCACTATCTCTACATGATAGCAGTACTCCAAAAGACTTTTTTCAAATTGCTCACTCATTTTGATATTTAGTCCACATTCATCTACCCCTATACTCATTCTGGACCCTGCCTCTTCTTTCACCACTCACACTGACTGATAAACAAAGCTGACAAAATATAAAGTTGGAGAATAAGGGATATCCATAGAGTAGTTAACAACACCAAATAGTGGACACAATTGTCTATAAAACCCAATTTCTTTTACATGCACAAAATGGAGTAATGTATTGATTGCCTTGTTGCATCCACCTTTTTAATATTATTGATTGCCCCCAAAGAAGTATCTCATAGAGAATCAAGAAAAGCATCTAACCTCATCTGAACGAAAAAAAATTGGCAGTGAGAAACCATTGAATTTTGAAGAGTTATGCAAATTGATTGCTTTAATGGGAAGCACTGGGGTCTTTCAAGCGCCAAAGAATGCACCAGTGATGCCAGAATTTTGCTGATTTTCAAAAGTAAGGCAGCATAAGATTTCCAAATATTACCATTTCTCCTGGGTCTCCCTTTTTGCCTTTTAGTCCTGGAAATCCAAGTGATCCCTAAAAAATAAAATAAGTGTGTATATCAATGAGTATCAGTGGTGGGTGTCAATTTTTTTTAGAACCTGTTCTGTAGGTCTTGCTTGTTTTGTGAGAGTGGCTTGGTGGTCATGTGACCAGGTGGGAGTGGCTTGGCAGTCATGTGATGGGTGGGTGTAGCCAACTTGTAAAATGTGGTGAAACTCACTTAACAACGCTCTTGCTTAGCAACCAAAATGTTGGTTCAGAAACTGGCATTTGAAGCACGCAAATCTTAAAGTTGTCAAGTTACAACACCCTTGCGCCCCAACCCTTTAGAAAAAAATCCCAGGGGTGTTCAAAAGTAACAGCTTTAAAACGTGTGAACTTCAATTTTCACAATTCCTCCTCCAATCATGTTGGCTGAGGAACTCTGGCATTTGAAAAATAAAGGACTTAAAGCTGTCAAGTTATAAGACCCTTGCACCCCTAACCCTTCACAACCCCCCCAAACTAAAACTTTATTTTTAAAGCATTTTGCACCCGGGACAGGTGGAACGGCACACCAGCCACACACCACCTCCACTGACTTTGAAGTCTTTCTCTCATGCTGCCAAAACCCCTTGGCACTCTTCATCTGCAGTCGCCCCTTCAACCTGCTATCCACAGTGGTCCTCCTGGAGTGGCACATTCCCCACCGCCCGAATAGCGCATAGGCTGAGGAAGGTGAGAGTGGAGCTGCTCTTTTTTTCGCTTCTTGGCCCGAAACAAAGTGGCAGCAAGGAAGGAGTCTCTGGTGTCTGCAGTGCAGTAGCAGCAGAAGTGGCTGTGGTGACTGAAACACAATCCCGGGTAGTCAATTCCAGGCTTCAGGCAGGAAGTCCAGTTGTGGACTTCAATCCCCAGAATTCCTCCTTCCCTCGCTCAGCTGCTATTGCCAGGGTAACACCAGGACAAGCAAGATCTTAGGAGGGATTTCTCCACCCCTTCCAGAGAGTCCATGCTGAAAGAGAGGAGGGGGGCTGGTTTGAATGCAGGGGAGTGTGTGGTTTAGTGGTCTGCCTTCTTTGCTCATTTGGGTGGGTGGAGAAAGAAAGGAGGCATGCAATAGTCAAGGGCGAAGGTGCTCCCCTTGCCCTTGGTGGCGGGGGTGCTTTATCACATGCAATCTTTCTCCACCTGCCTGAACAAGTGAAGGAGGTGGCCAGCCCCAAACTGTTTGAGTCGTTTTGCTGAATATGGTGCGGCCGCCATTATTGAGAGCTTCGCTGGCACATGCCTCTTGCCATCGCTGCCATGCCAGAACATGTAAGCAATGGGACATGCTTGGAGAAGAGAGAGCCAGAACTAACTGCCCAAGATTGTGCTACAGCTGCCTCTGTGAAAATGCCTGTTTTGCCAGCCACAGGAGGGAAAGAAAGAAGCCGGTCTTTGGAAAGAACATTTTTTTCACCTTCAGAGAGCCCATGCCTGGAGAGAGGAGGGGGTGGGCTGGTTTGAATGTGGATAAGTGGGTGGTTTGGAACTGGATGCCAGTGCCTCCTTTGCCCATTTGGGCAGGTGGAGAAAGAAAGGCATGTGATAAAGCACCCACGCCACCAAGGGTGAAGGGGAACACCTTCGCCCTTGGCTATCGCATTTTTCCTTTCTTTCTCTGCCTGCCCAAACAAGCGAAGGAGGCACTGCCTCCTGTCTGCCTATGTTCAAACCAGGCCGCCTCCTCTCTCCCCACATGGGCTCTCTGAAGGGGGAGGGAAGGTCTCTCCCAAGACCTGCTTCTCTTACCTCGAGGCACAGTTCCAGGATGGCAGGATATTATTTTTTCACTGGTATGGGAGTGTAGCCTCGACCCCTGTTTTCCTGCTGCCTCCAGTCCAGCCCCACACAATCTCCCCACCACCCCACACAATCTCCCCACTCCCGGCTGCAGTTGGCATTCTCCTAGTGATCCTTTCTGGCTGCAACCCTAGAGCGTCACATTTATTTATTTATTTATTTTATTAATATAATTTATAGGCCGCCCAATCCCGAAGGACTCCGGATGGCTTACAAAAAGAAAGAAGAAAAGATAATAAGAAGAAAAGACAGATTTAAAATCACCACACGTGCATTCGTTCTGATCAGGGCTGGACCTCAGCAATGAGGTCAACAGCCCCAGGCCTGCTGGAATAGCCAGGTTTTAATGGCTTTCCTGAAGGCATGGTGGTGGTATGTGAGCTGCTAACCAACCCAGGGCCAGCCACCCAAGAGCTGCTGTGTCCCATTGCAGGCACCCAGTGTGGCCTTGATGTCCTGCCTCCCTGCTGTCTCCAGTCCCGCACAACCTCCCCACCAACCCACTGACCTTGGAACACTTTGCTGGACAGCCTCTCCTTCACTTCCTGTTGGCAGCTGCAGCCATGGCCATGTAGGTGCAGCACCCGCAGGGTGGTCATATGGCAGGGGCGTGTGGGCTATTGACCATTCTAGGGCCTGCCTGGTTGCTTCTGGAGGGGACAGGCAGAAGGGCAGCATTCCCCTCCACCTCCCCAGCCATCTGTAGACTCGGAGACTCGGCTGGATGGGCAAAGGAAGTGGGTGGGTGGGGCAAACATGGTGTGGAAAGGTGGGGCAAGCGAGTGGGGGGAGGGGAGGCCAGGGGAGGGAGTGTTCTGGTACGGGACCTCTGGAAGATCAGGTACAGGAAGGCATGCTAAATTTCACCAACCGGTTTGCCTGTACCGGTGTGTACCCGCTGAAACCCACCCCTGATGTTTATGCATGTATATACTATGTATCACTGGGTGAAGATGCACACTGACATGCATATATGTACACATATACACCCCTGGCACATAACAAAATAAGAAGTAACTTTTATTTACCTCATCCCCATGAATTCCATCAAATCCATCAACCCCATCCTCTCCCTGAGAGAATAAAATCAGTTAGTATCAGCTCAGTTTTAACTTATTCATTATCCAACATAATAATACCCATAGAAGTTAAATATATAGTTTCAGTAGATGTTCAAAACTAGGAAAAGACTATCATTTATTATATTTGCTTTTTTCCCATCACTTTGACCTGAATTTCATTTCCTAACATACTATGAAATTTTTTCTATTGTGCTTGCTACAATTTCATTTTTTTCTTTTTGAACCCAAGCCTGTCTATCTTATGAATCAGAGAGATCTAATGCTTTAGACTAGAAATTAATGTTAAATAAACTGCAGTAATTAAAAAATTTCACACATTAAATATTTTCTTACTATACCCTTTTTCCGTGCAATCCTCGTTGACCCTGAAAGATTTAAAGTTATGTATTAAAACATAAAACTAATGTAATGCACATACGTTAAAAGCAAAACAAAACAAAAGATCAAAAAGAAATGATGGGTAAATTCTTACTTTTTGTCCTCTAGTACCACATTCTCCTATATCACCTTGCTTTCCTTTAATTCCAAGGATTCCCCTGGGACCCTGAAACAGAAAATCAAATATTATGTAAGGCCATAATCAAATATATGCACTTACCCCAAACATTAAGGGATTGATTCAAAGATTATACAATTTACCGGGTCTCCATCATTTCCTGGATATCCTGGATGTCCCATAAAACCAGTTGTACCCTGAAAATATCAATTAAAATTGCAAATATTGAAATAACAGATACATTCAAGTGAAAATATTTATTTCAAAATAGCTAACAGGATATGCTAATGGCAAATATGGTGTGATGAAGAGAACCTGCTAGCATTACCGTTAACACTTAATATGGTGGACTTTTGTTTTCTATGAATAATTGATTTAAACTTTTACAGATCTGAAGAACATTGAGAGAACCAGTTTAATATAGTGGTTATAGCATAAGGTGACCAGATTTTCAGATTGATAAAGAGGGACACCATTGACTGGGGGGGGGGGAGCTGGCCACGGCGGTTACTGCCAGCCNAATCTACAGTAGCAGAACAGATGTGCTGAAAACTATTTTGGTAGAGCTGCATTAAACATGAAATGTCCTGAGGAACACTCCATATGTCTCCATATGTTGTAGCAGAAAAAAAACGTTTGTGACTCAATGGTAATTAATAGAGTTCAACAAAGAATTTTATTTTCTCCAGCTGCTAAAAAAAAGCCACAAGGAAAAAAGTGAATATTAGTTTAAAATATATTTGATGGTGAGCATTGCAACATGTTTATAGACACATCCAATCCTTCCTCTTTCTGGTTGCTAACAATGTGTAAATAATAAGTAGAAAAATAAGTTTCTCCTTCAGTGAGCCTGAAGTTATGTTTTCTTCTAGTCTAGCCTGGATTTTTTGTATCCTTTTCTTTAATAAGGGAAAAGCAACAATAGTTTATCTGTAAGAATAATTATCTGTGGCAAGCAACCAACATCTTTTTTCTTTCATGTCCTCATGATCTTTATTTCATCAGACAGATTAAAGTTGTTCCAAGACATACAAATATTACAGTATTTCCTTCTTTAGCCAGATTTATTCCAAATATAATCCCAAAGCATACAGAATCTCTTAAATTCCTCAGCCATTACTTTGAAGGAAAACTGCTGACTACAGTGACTACGAACAGATGAAACATTAGAGCAGTGTTCCTTAACCTTGGCTACTTTAAGATGCATAGATTTGACAGTTCCCAAAATTCCCCAGCCAGCAATTCTGGGAATTAAAGTTGACACATCTTAAAGTTGTAAAATTGAGAAATGCTGCATTAGACAGCATGGGCAGCCAATTCCATGAGGATATAATTTTCTACCACATCCAGGATAAGTAGGTAGTGAAGATAAAGGGCCCCACCTTATTTCCTGAGGATCCTCCTGAGCCATCTGAACCTTTCAATCCTCTTTCTCCCTAAACAGAGCATTAGTATTTGTTAATTGATATGTAACTAATATGTAACATTTCTATTTTTGTGCTATTCATTTCTATTAGGTCAGATATAAAAAGGTATATGGGAGGGACAACATAGCACATGCATTTATGAAACTCATAAAAAGTAATATCAGAGAAACCTAACTGTTAAGCCAATCTGTAATTACTATTATTATCAAACACTAGCATAATATTGTATTAAAATTAGTTTAAACTTCTAAATGGTTTAATAGTTCCCTCCTGATGAAACATTGTTTCTTCTTTGACTTGTATTTTATTTTCGCCTGGAATAAGGCTGTCCCTCCCCAAAAAATAGAAATCACAATTTTATGTTTAATAAGTAAACTATTAGTAACATGCCTCTCCATTTCAGTATGATTTGACTATTTTCTCCCTAGCTGCAGTTAACCTCAATAGAAGATCCCCCCTCTTTTTTCCCCCTTCTAAGGCTAAAAGCATCATAGGAATGAAGGAAATTTGAAGGTCATCAAGATTCAAATCTTACTTAAAATGTGGGCATCAGGTTTCTTTTTATGGTATTAATGTGTCATGGTAGGATTTAAAGATCTCTCTCTATCCCCAGTCCCCATCCTAGTCCAACAGGATATCAAGTGCCTGAATTCTTTCTTTTGTCATAAATGTTATGACTAGAGTTGTGCAAGGCTTTCACAAGAGAAAGCAACAGTTAAGCCTTTCTCTTCATTAAAGCAGCTATATCTTTCCCACAGCTACTTCAAATGCTGCTTCTTATCATCTTTGCATGTAAAGGAAAGCAGCAGTTTTTAACAATTCAGAAGTTATCTTTATTCCCCTATGTTTGGAAAGCTTTGCACAAAATTACTACGCAAATGTTTTGCCTTAAGCCATTCGACTTTGAAAACACAAGTTATGTATGGTGGTTACACTCCTCAATATCTTCTGATAAAAGGGTCCTGATTTGAATATGAATGTGTAACAATTACCATCCTTCCTGACAGCCCTTTGAAGCCTTTTGCTCCTCTTATGTTATTATCTTGTCCAGGTTCACCCTGTAATATAAATATGATAGCCATTTGATTAGAAAAATACCTCTGAGATTATCAAATTTGAACAATCAATATATCCATTCATAAGTTTTATCACATAATAGGTAATCTAGTCATATTAATCTAGACAGAAGGGATTGTGTGGGGCCAGAAGGTTAACAACAGAGGTGGGTTGCCACCGGTTCCCATGGTTCAGGCGGACCAGTGGTGGTTGTCAGCCTCTACTTTCCTTGCTTGCTATTGGCTGCCATAGAAACGGGGAGGGAGGGGACTTGAGATATTTGGAAGTGGGAATTACTGATGCTGGAGGAGTTATGAAGATGGGAGTTTTGTTCTCACCATCTTCTGTGCATGTTGGTGGCCTGGATTTGGACTTGGTGAAACCGTCTTGCATACCAACTTGATGAGACTTTTTGAAGATGCACCCCACATGACACCCTAGGGAGTGCAGATTGGATATTGAGTTGGGGAATTGGGTGGGGGCGGGTGCTGGGTAAATGTTTGATATGTACATGTTCGTTCCCTTTTGGATCAGATCTTGCTTTCCTTTTCGCTGCTTTCAATTCATAACTAGTAAAAGTACTATCTCTATTCAAATGATGTTGAGGTTTTTCTTACTTAGATATTGAAGGAGGCATGCCTGACATTAAGCAAGATCTCACTTCGCACCCATTCTGGAGTTAAAAGCTTCTGTAGAGGGAGCACTCAAATGTCTAACCCCTGCAGCGAGTAGGAGAAGATGATGGCAGGGGTCTCAAACAGCTGACAATTAGAGGCTGAAAGAGAGCATCTCATGATGACCCATGCTTTACATCTTTTTCAGAAGGCTTGGGAAAAATGCTGCTTCCATGTAAGTCTCGCTGAAAGGGAGAGTGGATTAGCCAAGCAGGCGGAAGGGGGGGGGGAGAAGAAGACCTGGCTAGCCCTGAAATGTCTAGGAAACAAAGGGGACAAATTCAATATTTGATAGCCTGGAAACATTTCCCTCCATCCCATCTGAGTGGGTGAATAAGTCTGATGTTAGAGCTCCCACACTCTTCAGAATTCCATTCTAAGTATTCCAATAAACCCTAGGTGTGATATATATACAATTTGTTATTGTTGTTGTCTATTTTGTTGTCTATTTTATCTTCTTCTCCAGGGATGATGTCCTTTTTGAAGGAGGGCCGAATGTCAGCCTCTATTTTCCTTGCTTGCTATTGGCTGCAAGGGAGGGGACTTGAGATATTTGGAAGTGGGGATTACTGGTGCTGGAGGAGTTATGAAGAAGGGTTCTCACCATCTTCCTGCATGCTGATAGCCTGGATTTGGACTTGGTCAAAGCCAACTGTCTCACATACCAACTTGATGAGGCTTTTTGAAGATGCACCCCACATGACATCTTAGGGAGTTGCAGATTGGACATTGGGTTGAGGAATTTACTGTTTTCAATTTATATGTAGTAAAAGTACTTTATGTCTATTCAAATGGTGTTGAGGCTTTTCTTTCTTGGATATTGAAGGAGGCATGTTTGACAGTGGTATTTTGGCCTTGGTTGCAGAACTGGCAGCGACGCAGGCTGGCCATGTCCCTGAACTGGTTCCTTGGTCACTGCTGCCATTGCATTCATGTTTTTTTAGTTATTTCTTCATGTTCTGTGCATGCACAAAACAATTTACAGTCAACTGTGCATGAATGCGCAGAAAACCAGTGTGCGATGCGAATTGGCAGCAACACTGACAGCAACCCATCCCTTAACAAAAATGATATATGCCTTGCAGCTGTGCCTTTGAAGCCCTGTTCCTCTGTATGGGTGTGGGATTGAGAAATAAAATATGATAAAAATAAGCACATATGTCTTTTTCTATGCACATCTTATTTGAAGTTTCAATTACACAATAATATAACAATGCAGGTCTGAAAAAATATTATTGAATCTCCTTGGCTGATCTTAGATATGGAGAAACAACTCTTTTGCAGCTAATGCCTATTTATTCACTGATGGTAAATGAGGGCCTTAAGAGATATCCAGGGTTAGTAATCATTCCATTTGTCCTTTTTCATATTTGAGACCAAGGATATATATTTGCAGATATAGTAACCCTATTAAATCAGTATTGCTCAACCTTGATCATTTTAATATGATTTTTTTCAACTTGCAGAATTCCCTACTCTGCATGTAGCTGAATAATTCTCTGTGTTGGAAATCCACGCATTTTATAACGGCTAAAGTTGAGAAGCACTACATTAAATAATTAAGATAAGTATTATTTTTGAAAATAAACTTACATGATCTCCTTGGAAACCTTTTGGTCCCTGGTCACCAGGAGGGCCTTTGAGTCCTGTATTGCCCTAAAGATATATGATACTTGTGTAAAAATATTCTGCTTAGATTTATTTGTTTCAAAATTAATGTTAGACTGAATTGCAATTGCTTTAAATTGAGAAACACTTCACTTTGATGATCTTTTAATAATAACCCCGTGCTATAACATGACTTACATACTGGTTGTAATTCAATTCAATCTTATAGATGTTTTCTTAGAAGTAAATTCAATCTCACCCATTGAAGCGTACAACTCTAAAAGTATTTTTACAACTTAAAATGTAATTAAAAAAAAAAATTACATG